CCCAGATGGAAACCTTGCTTTCATCATGACGGCCTTATCCTGGATTCCCTTCTGTTGATTTAGCCTCCAAAGTGCCTCTTGATTCTGTTCCCTTCTCCTCTATCCTCAGCCCAGCCTCTTATTTCAGGGCCCTTTTTTTGTTGTTAATCCTCACCCAAGGATATTTTTCCCATGATATTTAGAGAGAATGGGAGGAAGTGAAGAAGGGAGAGAGAGAGAAACATTGATGCGAGAAAGACACATCTATCAGTTGCTCCATGTGCCCCAACTGGGGCTGGGGGTGAATCCTGCAACCCAGGTACATGTTCTTGACTGGGAATCGAGCCCAAGACCCTTCAGTGCCCAGGCTGACACTCTAACCACTGAGCAACACCGGCCAGGGCAGGGCCCTTTTTGATCTGCTGGGATTTTTGCAATAGCTTCTTAGAAGATCTCTCTGAATCCAGGCCTGGCCTCTGTGAATCTATTATCTGTGCCTCTGAAATACAAAGGTGTCCACAAGATCCTGATAGGGTGTCCCAGGTGTAAGGCAGAGTCCAGTTTCCTTTGTCTACCATGCAGGACCATTACCATCTGTCCCTGGTCTAACCAGACGCACCATGGTGAACCCCATGCTCCCAGGACAGTCATTACTTCCCAACAAGGGTCGCATGTGCATTCCTTGGCGGCCGGGTACATAGTCCCCTCCTTCCTGGCCTGGTAAACTACACATCTCTCCCATTTCAAGTCAAAACCTCATCTCCATTGTGAAATATTCTCTCAGTATCCTGGTCTCCAACCTTCCTCCATGAATCCCCATCTGCAGAGACCGCCTCACCATTTATTATGTGTGTCCTTGTTTATTTGTCCATGTCCCTTACCGGGCCCTGAGCTCCTGAAGGACAGAGACTGTGTTGCCTTACCCACTTTGGAACCCCCCCACCCCCATCCCTAGGGCCCAGCACACAGCAGCTACTCGATAATTGTTGAATGTTCAACCAAAGCAGTATGTCTAAACTGGATTTCTGTGCACGGCCAGAAAATTAGCCTCCCTACAGCACTTCTGCCCCCAACCCCTAAAGCCGAAAATATAGAGCTACCACTAATCTGCAGCTTTAGGCAAATTTTTAAAAAGCGCCTCCTCTAGGATACCCAGCCCAAATGTCACCTCCTCTGTGCCTCTCGGGCATTTAGCGCCTTGCTGTTTCCTAGCCCCCTGCCTGGGGAAGGCACCCATATTTGAGTCTTACCGTATTACATCGCAGTTCTTTCTTCACCGCTTGGTCTCACTGCAGTGAAAGTAGGGATCCTGTCTTAGCCACCTTTGAGTCTCAGATGCCCAGGATGATGCTTTTCAAAGCCATGGTGGGTTTTCAGAACAGGTTTTAGACTGAAGCCAGAGCTCCAATCCAGTTACTCCTCAGTTCACATCTTCACAGAGCCTCCCATCTGCCTCATGATTGTTTCAAACTCCCAGCCAGGCGCACCAGGTGCTCAGCCTCACAGCTCTCCAGTCACCTCCCCCCCCTACACACACACACAGACAGACACACACACACACACACACTTCCTCCTCCTCAGGTCGCCTACACTCATCTGTGCTGTGGGCAGAGTGAGCATCTCTTACCTCTGGGTCTTTGCTCACCTGTCCCTCTGCCTACAATGCCCTCTTTGCTCGTCAAAATTCTATGCATCCTTCAAGGCCAACTCAAATGCCATCTTCTGCACGAAGCATCCCACCCGAGATGTGGCCTCATGCTGCTGAGATCCAAAGTACTTTGTCCTTCCCGGTCATTCCCGAAGCAGTGCTCTGTGTCTGAATGATGTGTGGATACTTAAAGCGTGTTGGGGGTTGTTATTCCCAGACTTTAGTTCAGTGCACACAGTAAGAGCTCAGTAAATGCCAGGCGGAACAGAGTAGGGAATCCAGCACTACACCTGCACAGGGATGAGGCAGCAAACTCATGCTCTGGAACCCAGCAGGACACAGACCACCTCCCTCTCCTCCTCTTTTTTTCTCGGTACCAGCAAAGCATGAGCTCAGGGAAGAACTGCATAAATCGCCCCTCCCTTCTTGCCCCAGCCAACAGAGCTTGGCTTCCCTTCTAGAGAGGTAAGAGAAAGGTGTGACAGCTGAACTTCCTTTGCTCCACCCTCTTTCTTTTCCCAAAAACAGAGTAGAAATTCACCTCTGACGGCCTTGTTTTCAAGCTCCTGCCGGACAGGA